TCCCCTTTTGTCTCCAACCTCTTCATGGTCCCAAAGCTCAATCCTTGAATATTCTCTCTTTACAGTAATTGAGATCTCATCTAGCCTCATGCTTTAAAAATCGTCTGGAAGCTCATGACTCCCAAATTTACATCTCCAGCCCAATCTCCTGAAGCACAGACTCAAATATGTATTAAAATGTCTACTGACGTATCTTCTTGGATGTCTGCTTGATATGTCAAATTCAACACATTTGAAATGGAATGATCTTCCCCCCAAGCTTGTGCCACCCACAGCCTTCCCGGTCATAGCGGTGGCAGCTTCATCTATTCTCCCAGTTGCCAAAGAAGAAATCCTTAGAGTCATCCTCATCTGATTTATTCCTTCACTCCCCACAACCTGTCCATAAGGAAGTCTTGAAAGTTCTACCATAAAAATACACCCAGAATCCAGCACTTCTCACCACTGCTACACTGCCAACAACTCACTTTGAGCTGCCATCATCTCTTGCCTGGACCCCTAAGTTAGTCTCTTAACTGCACCTTCTCCTCCCCAAAGGAGCCAGAAGGATCCTTTGAAAATAAATCAGGTTGTATCATTTCTCTGTTCAACACCCTCCAAGGGGTTCTGCTGTCATTCTTCGTGAAAACCACTGTGGTCATCGTGGCCTGCAGGGTCCGCAGTATCCAGCTTACCCGTGGCCCTCTGACTTGTCTCCTCTTCCTCCTCTGTCCTTTGTCACTGAGCTCCAACGACAAGGCCTCTCTTTGCATGACCTCAACTTAGGGATTTTGCATTAACTCTTCTTTCTGCCTGGAAGCTCTTTCTTGGGTATCAGCATGGCCAACACCCTCACCTCCTATAGATCTTTATTCCAAATGTCACCTTCTTAATGAGGCCGTCCTAACCATTCTCATTAAAACTGTAGCTTCCCCTCCTCCCGATTTCCCCTTACCTTGCTCCATTTCTTTTCTTTTTACGCTTAAACCACCATTGCAAACGCTCTGTTACATGTTCATGTATGTGCCTCCACTAGACTGTAAGTTCCATAAGGGAAGGGATTTTGTCTGGTCTATTGATGTATGGCAAAGTATAATGTCTGACGCATGTAACAGTGTGGTCAGTATTTATTGAATGAATAATTATGAACTGTGAAGAGTGCTAGGAGGGTAAAATAAAGAATTCAGTTACAGATGATAGTAATAGATCAGCAGCAGAAACTATTTGTTGAGCCTGGATCTCATGCCACACACTATGCCAAGCAAGGGCTTTACATTCTTTGTCTTACTTATCTTTACAACGATGCTAAGAGACAGCTACTCATAATATTCCCATTTGAAAGTGAAAGAAACTGAGGCACGGAACTTTTAAATAAACTGTCCAAAGGCACACAGCTGGTAAATGACCCACTGCTAGTCAGCTTTGGAACCTGTAGCCTCTAGCTAATAACTCTAGAGGAAATTATGGAGTAGGGGATGGAGGGAGTTGGGAAGCATATTTCACTGTTAGCAGTGCTGTTCTCAGGAGTGCCTACATTTGATCTCAGAGTGTTTGGAGTTAGTTTCCAGATAATGGACACTTTGGCTGGTAGTTAACCCTGCATCTCCAGAAAGGCATTCTGAGTCCTTCTTTATCATTCTGGTGTAAACTTATCTGGGCTTAATTCCAGGGGAACTTTGGTGGTTTCCCATATCCTTTTCCTGGACTACTCAAGGACATGGCCTTTGAGGAAACAAAGGAGGGTGGCAAATGCTTGCTCAGCGGAGCATTTCAACTTAATGTTCTTGTTTTAAGAACTTGATTGACTGCAGAATATCTATTCCCTCCTATTGTGATGCCTCAGTGGGCAAGGCCATGGCCCTTGGAGCCACTTCCTGAGGGATGTCCCCTTCTCTGTGCCAGGGTAGTCCTTGCCCTCAGGACACAGAACACTCATGGCCAGTCAGCAGCTGCTCTCAGGTGTCTGATTAGATCTTGAGGTCCTGGACCTACACTTGACCACCAGTGGGAGGCCGGTTCTGAGCTTGAAGCTGCAATATTTTCCTCCCCAGCAACAGTTACTAATTTTCTATGCTCTGTAATAAATAACCACGAACTTAGTAGCTCAAAAAAACCATACATTTATTATATCACAGTTTCTGTTGCTTATCTGGGTTCTCTGCTTCAGTTCTCATAGGCTGCATTATAGGTGTTTGCTGGGCCTGTGGTCTCATCAGAGGTTCGACTGGGGAAAGACTTGCTTCCTTCCTCCCTCAGGTTGTTGGCAGAATTCATCTCCCTGAAGTTGTAGGACTAAGATTCCTATTTCTTGCTGTCTGTTGTCCAGGGACTGCCCACAGTTCCTTGCCACATGCCCTCTGACAACATGGCAGCTTACTTCTTCAAAGCCAGCAAGGGGAGTCGCTAGCTCCAGTCTTACAGCATAATATAACCATGGCAGTAGCATCCCGTCCCTTTACCATGTTCTGTTGATTGGAAGAAGTCACTGGTCCTGCCCCCACTCAGTGGGAAGAATTGTACAAAGGCTTGAATTCCAGGAGGTGGAGAGTATACTTGGGGGGGTCAACTTAGGGTGTGTTCACCACAGTAACCACGCCCCCAGTGATGAGGAGCCTAGAAACTTCCTCTAATAGCCCTACAGGCAATCCTTTGCTTATGTATTTGATGCTGTTTTTCATAAGGTTCATGGCAGGGGGACGGTTTCTGTGTGACCGTGCCCTCCACCCAGTTCTGGCCCAGCGCCCTCACAGAGTTCTGACTTTGAAGGCTCAAGCAGCCAGCCCCTGTCCTCAGAGGAGTCAGGGGTCTTTGCTTCTTCCTCCCCGCTCAGACACTCTCCAGTGACTATCCTTTCATTTCAAATTGTGGAGATGATTCCTAAACGCAAGGGGAGACTTATTAGTTTCTCATCTATTCCTCCGAAATGCTTTGGGATTGCTTTTCCAAGAGACTGTAGACTGAGATGTGATTTTTCCTGTTTTATCTAGAAAACCTAATGCTGATTTTTGTTGATCGTTTGAACTTCTTTCCGTTCAGTTGCAGCTGAGTTAATTTTCCAACAGAATGAATCAGAGTGCTCTTTCTTTGTGTAGAACTTGGTCCAGAAGCAAAGATGGTAGTTATTAGATCCTGCACTAAAGATGATCTCATGAATCCAGGTGTGAGTTGCTTAAAGGCAGACTCTTCTTCCCTCCATTCATTGTCTGGGTGTTTAACCAAGTAAATACAATGTTGACTTATTTAAAAGGATTACTGTTTTTCAGCCTAATCATTTCAGATCCCAGTGGGTATTTATAAATAACCTCATCCAGTATTTATAAATAACCTCGTCCAGTCAGACATGAGTCTCCACGTGACAGAGCAGCTTGGATTTCACTTCTGAGAACTCTCCTTCCCCCACACCTATCTTTGTTGTCTGAGACCCCACACAAGACACATGAGAGTCTGTCATGAGCAAGTCTTCTCTTTCAAAAGTGTGGAATCTTCTGCCTTAGTTCCTCTTAGTATGTCTTTTGTCTGTGGAAGTGGGGAGGGGAATAAAAACATAGGGGAGAATGAGAACATAAGTCTAGTCTTTGATGAAGTTTTTAAGGCAAGAAGGGTGGGGTGCAGAATTGGCTTCTTCTTTTGTAGCTAGTTCATGCCAGCTTGAGCAGTTTAGAATTAGTTTATGTTTTATATTTCAAAAGTATGTGCCTCATTCCCTACTCCTGACAGGATATGTTAGAAGGAAAAATAAAATAAAAATATGCTGTTGATGTTTGCTTACCTGGTCACAGTTACACACCTGGGGAAAACCAAATGCTCTTTAATATTTTCACTTTTGAGTTTCATGTAAATCATACCCAGATAGTTAGTAGTAGCATAAATAGCTTTGATTGATATATAAGAATATTAGAAATTTATTTTTTAAATATTATAGCAAATATTCATGCAGAAACTTTTTTGGTGGGATATATATGTCTCAGTTCAGTATGAAAGTGCCCACTTTTTAAGACCTTTATGGCCACACCTCATCTCACAGCGGCTGGCATGGGTCCCTCTTTGGTGGAGCTCCTGGTGAGTGGGCTTGTCAGCCCCATAGCTGGTGGAGAGTGGCTATGTGTGTGTTTTGAGTGCAGACAGAGCCCAGGGCCCCAGTCTCTAAGTCCCGCTCCCCATGAAGACAGAACATGCTCTGTGGACCCTTAACGGCAGTCCCACTTCCTGTTGCCTTACACCTGCCTGGGCCAAAGAATCACCTTCAATCTCTGGCAGCCATGTGGCTTCCAGAAGTTCCTCAGACCCAAGTCAGTGTCATACAGGAGCCCGTGGAAGGAATGGATAGAGCGGCAGAATGTCCTTCTGGTGACCACTTGCCTCTGGTTCTCCTGCATGTGCATAGCATTGTATCACGTGGGCCTGTATGGTGGGAAAGGGGGGAGGCAGCCCCCCCACTTGTGTGGGGCAGAGATACGCTGCCCACCTGTGCACTGACCGAAGGCTGCAGGTGTTTACCTCAGCCTCCACTCTTTTCCCAGAATTTCTACTTTAGTTGCCTTATAGCCTTTTCTTAATGCATCTCTCATTTTGATAGACTTTGCCAGATTGCCCTTTGCTGGGACTGAGTCCTTTAAAAGTCTTCCATAGTTTTAAATTTTCTAAGCGATGAATATATGAATATATTTTCAGAAAAAGTGAAAAAAATTAGAGATATAGCTAAAGAGATACAGCTAATGTGTTAAAGATACATTACAGAGGTGTGCGTGTGTGTGCGCGCGTGTGAGTGTGTGATGTATAAGTTATGTTGTGCTAACCCTGTCAGCCTGGAGTGATGTCTTTTACTCGATGATTTGTCTGGGGGGTCTTTCCATGATGTAGATCTCTCTCTATTATTTGGGTTGTTTACCATAAATTATTTTTAGCACTGCTTTTTTGGCATTTGCTTTCAGAAAATAATTTAGGGTTTTATTAAACACCTACATTTTTTATATTGTGCAAAATTGTAATCTTCGCACATGTGTTTTTTCCTCTCTCTTCAGATCTCAGAAAACCGATCTTCACAATGAAGGCTACATCTTGGAATTAGATTGCTGTTCCTCCTTAGTTCATCTGGCAGACCAAAAAATCATCCCAGAGTTCATTAAGAAGGTGAGCCCTGCAGTCAGGGTACGATTGTACAGGTTCTCTCCCCTGAGAGGACAAGCAAGGGGCTGGCCTGGGGCAGGCCAGCCATATTCCTAAGTCTGGGTCTTTCAGCAGCCCCACAGGGGTGCAGCCCCCTCCTGCCCAGGCAGGCAGGACCCTGGACCCTGTCCTTTAAGGCTGGAGTGATGTTAACAGCTGACAGGCCTGCTGCCCCACTGCCATGACTCCCCTCCAATCCTCAAGGTGGTGTGAACCTCCCAGACCCCACCTTCCACTCATCCTGTGGGTCTTTGTCGCCACCAGCATCCTTCCCTTCCTGGTGTGGGAGACACCAGGGTCCTGTGGCCACTGGCATGCAGTTGTGCCAGGGAAAGTTGCCTAGTTGCAGGGGATTCCTCCTCTGCCCAGAAGTGTGTCTGGTTTTGAACCCCTCTTCATGCCATGTGAGGTTTGTCACCTAACGCAGGGTCCACTTGAGTTTCAATATGACACTTACTGTGGAAGGAATGCCCTCGCCTACATGGGGCTCAGTTCATTGCTTAATGCTTATCTGGCCCAAGCCCAGTCGTCCATAGAATTGACAATTCCCCATCCTGTGCAGGTGATTATGGTTGGTTTGAGATACAATCAGCCAGCTAGGGAATTCATTAGTAACTATGTTGGCTCTTTGGAACTTTGGGCCAGAAATAGTCCTGTGTGCTTGAATGCAGAGAACAAAATAGGCGTAATCCCTGCCCTGCTGTCCTCACAACAGGCAGGTCAGCCCTGAAGGGGTGGGATGAGCTTTACGAGGGGGGAAGC